ATAGTCAATTCTAGTCTGATATTGTGAACTGTGCCATGTATTTTGTAGATTATTAGTATAATCTGCTAGGTCATACAGGTTGGTACTATGTAGATAATTAAGTAATTGAAATTTAGTTGTTGATGTTGTAGTAGTATTGTGATTGCATTAAAGTCTCCAAGTATAATAAGATATAAATTTGACGATATTGCTTGTTGTGTTCATGTGGTAACTGTATTTTGTGTAAGTCTATGCTTGCTAGTGTTGGTTGATGAGAGATATACTGAAATAATTCTAAATTTGTAATCATTTTTAAAAAAAAGATTTATGGCAATAGCACTACCAGATTGAGTAAGTATGTTATATATATGAGGTTTGATATTATTTTTAATCATTATATATGTTCTTTCTTTGGATTCTGTAGAGTTGAACCAGAAATATAAGTATAGAGGTGTGTTCCAGAATTTGGTTTTTATGTTATTAGCAATTTTGGTTTCAGTAAGACTAATTATATGTAAATTATGAGTTAGACAGTAATTTTCCCATAATAGTCGTTTTTCTTATGTATTATATCACTGCACATTATGCATTGAGATATTAAGTTGAAGTAAGTCATTATTGGAGGAAAAGTTGGAGTCAGATACAACATTAAGGTTAGATGTATAAGGTGAAGAAAAGAATGTTGGGTTATCTAGAGATGCTGGTATAATAAAGACTGGTACTGATGTCTTGGATTTTAGTTGTATGTTTGGGTAATGCCAGATAGCTTGAACTGATAAAATAAAGTGATTAGGTAAAAGTTTGGGTTCAAATAAAAGATAGACATGAGCTTCACTATGGTCATTTTTAATAGAGATAGTTAATGTGTAGCTATATAGGTTATCAGGTAAATAGCTGAAGCTGTAAATGTGATATAAGAAAGTAATAATAGTTTGAGGATGAGAAAGTAGTGGTATATAGTTGTAAAATAAAAATTTATTGTAACAAATATTAAATTGGATATTGTTATAGTATCAGTTAGCTATAGTAGTTTCATCATGGCCTTCTAAAATAGCTCCTATTATTTGGGAGTAATTGTTATCTAATTCATCATCTTTTATAATTAGGTTAGTATCTAATATATTATTGTTAATTAGAGAGAATTTGGAGAAGATAGGTATGGATGAATAGTAGGTATAATCTAATAATCATGGAAAGAAGTAATCAGGTAGGGGTTGAGATACATATGGTAGATGTATATAGCATTCACTATAGTCCAGTTTGATTGCTAATCTTAGTACATAGTTAAAGTTATTGTATTGTGTAAAGTTGTATTGATAGATGTGTTTTAGAAATAAGTTGAGTGTTTGTGGGTGTGGAAGTAAAGGTAGCTTTAGATGTGTTAATCATTGGTTATAGCAAGAGTCTGGATCATATAGTGTATTGTGAATTGGTTTTTGCAGAGCTTCTTCAATATGAAATGATGAAATGAAGTTCAAGAAAGTAGAAAATTTTTCTGTAGTTTCGGTCACCATATGCTTGGCTTACACAGCTGTGAAGAGTACCATAGCCTGCTTTGTACATTGAGTCTGGCTGTCATTAACTTGGTTCTCTGTGTAAATGGACTTAACCACCTGTCCATTTACATCATTCTCTTCTGGAAATGGCTCATTATTAATAAAGAACATTGTAATTCCAGAAGCGGTAGCTGCTTTTATGAGTATTACAGAAGAATTTATTGAAAAGGTACCTCTTCTTCATTTTTTAAAAAGAATGACTCTTCAATTGAGATGGGTATTTCAAATTTGATATTGAATTTGTTGTGAAGGATTGTTTCTGCCTCTGGTAAGGCTTTTTCTTTATAGAATTTGGTTATTTCAAAATAATTTGGAGAATTGCCTCATGTGCAATCAAAGTATATAATAACTCGAGCTAGAAAGTTAGTATCAATTAGTTTTGCTGTAAGGAATTCGATAGCTTGTTGTTTATCCATTTTGTCAATATTGTGATTTTGAGTAGTGGTATTATAATATATAGATAAATATTGATAAAAATAAAAGCCTTATCATTTAGGATTAGTTTTGACAGCATTAGAAGAACAAGTGTACTCTTCTGCCTTTGTTGCTAATTCATCAAGGGTTAAAGTAGTGATTGGTTTTGTAAATGTGGCTTCATGTTTGCCTTTAATGTAAAATATAGATGCATTAAGGAAAGGTTCGTTCTATGTTTCAGTATCTTCTTTGAGATAGGTTTTGTAAGATGTTTCAAATATATCTTTAATAAGTATAAATGAGTTGTATATGAGTTGTGATATGAAGGTTTTCTTTGAATTAGTATCAGCTTTTTTTGTTTTTCCTTTTGTATCAATTGGTTCAAGATAAGAACATTTAGAGTCTGTACAAGTAAGTACATGATAGTTGGCATGTCTAAAGGTTTCATGATGTTATTTTTGAAGGTTAGTTGGTTTTATGAATTTGATGTTAGTTGGCAGAAGGTTTTTTAAATATGAAATAAAGTGTTGTCTGAATTCATATTTAAGGTAGTTAGATAGTTTGGTTTTGTTAATTATATTAAAAAATTGTAGGCTATATAATAGGAAGGCTTTTTCAAACCATTCATTAAAATGACTAAGTGAGTTTTTAAATGATAGTATATTATATTTGTCAAGAAAAAGAGATTTTGGAAGATTAAAATTCAGTTTGATATTGAAGTGGTTGTCCATTTTGATAGAAAGATATTGTTGTTCTTTGTCAAAATCAGTAACCTCAGATGTTATTTTAAACCTTTTAGGTCTAAGTTTAATATCTTCAGCAAATTTTGTATAGTTAATTGCTTGATAGTTATTAGAAAGGTATAAATGTAAGCTAGTGAGGTTAAGACAAAATTGTAAACGGTTTTCAGTTTTAATTGGTGGAATTGTTGCAGGAGAAGCAAATATTTTAGGATAGTTAAGTTTAGTGAAGAAAACTGTTGTAAATGTATAAATAAGTTTTTTAAGACTTTCTTCTAGAATATTAAAAGGAATTGTTGCAGCTTTATCTGTTTCAGAATTGTGTTTTTGGATTAGGTCAACGAGGAATTTTGGTCTAGTACCAGCTATTTGTCTAATCAACAAATAGAAAATAGCTTTAAGTGTATATTTAGTTTCTGTGACTTCTTTAAGAACTTTACCAGAATAAAAATTATATAGATGTTCTTTAAGAAAATTAAAGAGTTGACATGATATCTCAGTTTCTAATTTTATATAATTTTGCATTTTATTAGTAACTGGAAAGTATGCTAACCAGTCAAAAGATGGGTTAAGTTTGGGTCTTGCTGCTTGACTGTAGGATTGTTATTGTTCATTATTACTTGTTTCATCTGCAGTAGGAGTAAGAGGTATAAGTTTGAAAGTAAGAAAATTTTTAATAGTAGATTGTTTTTGATATAGGTTTTGTTGTTTTTGGTTAATTTTGTTGATTTTGTTTTGTTTTAATGTTCCTAGAAATTTTTTGAAAATTAGAATTTTCTCTTCTTTAAGTAATATAACAAATTTAATTACAAGAGCAGTTTGGATTTGTGTAGGAGTAAGTGCTTTGGTTTGAATGATCAGTTTGAGTTTAAGTTTATGAATACATTTAGGATGTGCTAGAAATCCTTTGATAATAAGAATAGATTTGTCGAGAAGTGAGTGTGTATTATTTTCTAAGAAAGCATATAAGATGTTTTTATTTTGACAAATAATACAAGTATGTGTATGATAAGAATGTACTTAGATTTGAGAGATTTGTTTTGAACTAGATGAAGTTCCTTGTTGAGTTGTAGAGTAGTTTAAAGAGAATGATAATAGAGGAACAGTAGTTGTTTTTGCAATTGGTGATTGAGGGATAATTTCTTTAAGTTGTTTGACTTGTTTGGGTATAATATTAATTTCCATATATATAGATTTTTGGAAAGAAGGAAGAGGGATTGCTTGTCTAAGTGGAATGTTAAGATTGCTAGAAGTAAAGAGAGTATGAAATTTTTGACAATAACAGCAGACAATGGTGGGTTGAGTAGGGGTTTTAAAGTAGTAAAGAGATTTAGCGATATTGCGTTCAGATAGGTTAAATACAAATGGTATTACTTTAAGTTGTATAGGTTGTACTTCTCTAATCATTATACTATAACAGTTATTATACTTGTTATGAAAATAGTCAAGATCAAATGATCTGGTTCTTGGGAAGTCAAAATAGGCATTCTATTTGATAGAGAAAGAAAAGTGCTACAGGTTTACTTAAAGATGAAAATTAATATTATTTAATAAAATTTTTTGTTATTAACTATTAAAGTTTTTAATATATAAGATTTATAACAGTGAGGGTTGGCTTGACAGGGGTATGATGTAATACTGCAGCTACTGCGGCTGCCACGGCTTTGTGTAACTTTGAGAACAATTTTGTGTAATCTATGTAGTACAAGGTGTGGCTTAATATAACAATTCAGTTACATGTCCCAAAAAAGCCTTGTAATAATGTACAAAATCAAATTAGTAAAAGAAGAAAAACCAATAAAAATTTATATGCTATTTTAAGTAATATTAATTGGTTTATTATGAATAAGTAGCTGTGCAATGTTGTCATGCGAAACCAAGAATAGGGGAAATCTACGCAGACTTCATCTTAGTCACAGGAAATCATATTCTTCATTGCAATCCATTTCTGATATAAGAAAATAACTCTTTATAAAAGAAGTTAATAATATTTGCAATCTGAATATTCAGTAACTGAGCCTAAAAACCTATTAATGAAGTTAATGTCTGACTGCTACATAGTTGGTTAGTTAATTCTGATAAATCTGACCCAAAATTCTGGGGCTCTGCAAAAAACATTAAAATCTACGAAACATATTTACATATTTAGGAAGGATTGACAAATTCTTTCGATTAAGTCTTTGAAATGAAAAAAAATGAAAATTACAAAATATTTAGCATTGAGGACTTTAAATTTACATTGGATTACTAATTTTTGTAACAAAAAATTTATTTTTACTACTGTATATTATTGCATTTTTGATTTTACAGATGTACATGCTCATTTATAAGTTTTTTTTTAGTTTTTTACTAAACTATGAATAAGTTATGCAGACCAATCAAGTCTAAGACTTTGCCTACAGAGATATTAGTTCCTGGTAAATTTGATGAATAAGGCATGCGGACCAATCAAACTTAAGATTTTGTGGACATAAACTACTTCCACACTTATTGCATGATATTGATGCAAAAATTCATCAGACAAATATAGAAATCATGAGATAAAGTCACAAGGATTGAACATCCAATTAGATCCAAGATTTTGTACAAGACATTTAACTCTTAGGTAAACCATACATTGTACAAACTCTATTCCTGGTAAAAAAGTTTTTAGACAAATAAAACAAGTATTAGTATTATGAGACAGATTTCATATAACAAAAAAAAGTAATATTATCATTATATTTAGGGTACATTAGATTCATCATAAATGTATACAAATCATTATTACTAAGAATAACAGAATTAATTAAAGGAATCACGTATTTAAAAAAAAGATTACATAATATTTAATCAAACAAAAGGCTTTAATAAATAGATTTTCTCTTATAATATTAATGTTATTTTTCTCAATGAACATAATGCAGAAATATTAACAGGCAATAATAAGATTATATATTTTTTTTAGTAAATCTTATTATACTATTAAATGCATACTAGCTTGGAACAATTACCACATTAATCTTTTTATATATTACGTAGAGTACAAGATTACTATATATATTTGTCTTAGTTAATACAGAAAAAAATAACATACCACAATATATACAAATTAAGTAATCGATAAGACATTGGCTTTTGACTATTTGTAGATAAGCCCTATATATATATGAATATAAAATTTTACTAGTATAATTAAACTGTTACAACAACAAGCCATGGTTTTTCAGAGGCAAATTTAAATCAAGATTTCTTAACAGAAATAGAAAGTTATACTAATTCTAGAAATTTAAAATAGAAAAATTTATGAGATAATATATGAATAGATAATTCAAGTTGATACACAAATAAAACAAATATGGACAAGTTACAAATAGGATATAAAAAGTTAATTTAAAAACTAATTATAGAATAGTCATAATGTCCAACTGCTATTTTTTTTTTTGCTTTAGTAAATTATGGTCTAAAAATGATTCTGATCCTCTTAACCAGATAAGTTTTGGTCATGTGTATTACATTATTGATTTTTCATGGAACTTATGAATTTAATTCAAAACATCTACATTCTTTATTATTAATGATCACAAATTATCACATTTTCTGAACTAACTTTAGCCTTTAACAGTTCTTAATACTTATAGATCGGTGGAAGTATATGTCAGAATACTGTAGATAGATTCATATATTCAATAGTTTGTCTAAGCTTTAAGATATATTGTAGTTTTTTTAGCTTGCAAAATAGTGACCAGTTTAGAAGAATAAAATATAGGCTTATAATGAAGTTTGTAAAAGAAAAATTCCAAAATATTATTATTTAGAAAACATTTTAATATTATGATATAATCTCTTTAGTGCTATAACTTGATTCTAGTGTTCGGATCTAATTAACCAGAAGATTATGTGGACCCAAACTAGGATGTACCTGTCTTAAGAGGCAAAGCCCTATGCAGCATACAAATATAGAATCTCTAATTATGACAATGATTATCTAATCAGATACAAAAGTGACACCACTCAACTCTTTCGTAAATCATATACTTTGTATTTCATACTCCATTCCTGGTAAACGATTGTAGTAATTATTTAATGTTACACAAAAATCATATAAGAGAAAAAAGTTAGGGGTAAATAAAAAAGAATTTTTTAAGAAGTTTACAAGAAAGTTAAAGCTATTTTTAAGATATCTCCATTAATATTAGGTTTATTAAGTTTGTTTAGACCTTGTTTTGATTGAAGAAGTGAGCTCTATAACTTTTCTTAGGACTATAGAGTAGATTGTAAAGCTAGTTGTCGAGAAATAATTAAAAATAGAGTTTAGAAGCTCAAAGGCCATTATTGCAGTATTAAATTGCGAGTTTGAGAGCTATCTCTTTAAAACTTTTAGAATATATATAAAATTAGTAGTTGAACAAGTTTACTTAATATGCCAAAGTTAGTTATCTTAATAAAATAACCAGATATTAATGATTTTAGTACTGACGAATTTTTAGTTATTTTTGTATAAAAATGATTTACGGAAAGAGTTTTTTTTTTTTATTAAAATAAGTTAAAAACTTATTAAAATATAAATTTTTAAAGATTAGGATATAAAATTATCAAATAAAATTAACTAATAGGTTTACATAAATTAATTAATTAAATTTTTTATTTTTGTACTATCTAAGAAAATTTTAACACATCTAAGTAAACTTTATTATATATATAAGTATATTTTTTTAAAAGAATACAATATATCCAAATTTTTCTATAATAGATATATAGGAGTGTGGTGATCTAGTGAAGTGGTCAGATTGTCAACCCTCCAAGTAGTAGGTTGGATGTTCAAATCCTATCAACAGCAAAAATTTAAATAATCACTTATATAATATTCATATTATGATAACTGTTACTAATGATTGGGTTAAGATATCTGTAATAACAATCACACTAGTATGACTGGCAGATTATGAGGCATCTGTATAATGTTGGAGTTATACAAAGGAATGCAAACCAACAATTTGGTTGTGAAAACACTAGATAAGTTCTTGTGGCCATATAAATCTATTGAAATTAGGTAACAAGAAGTTTATTTGAAAAAACCTAAGTAAAAAGATAGCTGAATTTTTGATGGCTCTATTATAAAGACTAATTTGGCAAAATGGATACCAAGGTCTAGTACTCAGTTGTAGTAGCTGAACAGACAAGAATCTCCAGATTGGGAGTTTCAGAGATATCACCAACTAGGCTGCCAGAACAAACTGAAAGAAAAGAATATTGAGTCAACCTGATATACCAATAAACTGGTTGTAGTCTTATATGGCCTATCTGGATTGGAAGTTTGATAAAAAGACAGATGAAAAGGCAGGAGTATACTAAAGTACCAGGATTATGCTGTAAAGTAGATGCTGAAGTCTAAGTAAACTCTATGAAGATATAGCAGTTTAATGGTTAGCCCTGACCACTAGTGTTAGTTCTGTCATAGCAATACCTAGGTTAGCTATAAAAATAGGTACAGAAGGCTCTGGAGGGTTTATCTTAAGGATAAATTAGTCCTAAGATTAAGATGATGATCTGGGCATCTGGGTATAACCCAGTAAAATTAACACAAGTTACAGATTCAGAGAGTTTAAAGTAAAACACTTAAGCAGAGATGTTAGATATGGCAATTGGTGAGAAACCTTTGGGTAAACTCCTTAAATAGGTAATATAGAAAAGTTATACATGTAGCCAATTGTATTCTTTTCTATAGTAGTTCATTGAACCACAATACTGATAAGTGATTAATAAAAGTCAAAAGACCAAAAAGATCATCTTAATACTAAAAAAAAACAAAAATCAATAATAGATATATAATTTTATTTATAATATTATAAAATTTTTTTATTAATTAATTAAAAAATAAAAAAATTTTATTAGTAGCATATAT